GACATTATAACTATTTTTAAATTTCTAGATATGACTATTTAGAATATATTTTGAGAAGGATTTAATTAAAATTGGCCCCTGTTAAAATAAAGTTCATTTTTAAGGGCATGCTAAGTTTTATTTTTAAGGCAGTTAATTCAAATTCTTTGTAATGACTTCATTACGTTTTAATATATATTTATTTACCATCACAAACAGAATGTAATAATTTTTTAAAATAGGAAATCTGGTGCCTGATACATGGTGTCCTATACTTACTGACGATCCCCTCTGGGTATTTGCTGCTGGTCATTTTTTCAATCTGCAACCTGAATGATGTTTCATGGGGCACAAGAGAAGTGCCTACAAAGACCCAAAGATTGGAAATGGAGAGGAGAAAAAAAGAAAAAGAGGAAGAAAAGAAGAACAAGCCAAAGAAAGATTTTCTGGCCAGGATATTCAACAGGGGAGAAGGTGAAACAGTTTTGTCAACCAGCAGGATTGTAACTTTGTGCAAGTTGGGGCACTTTTGCCCCTTGCATAAATTTAATTAAAATGCATTAGTTTTGTATTGATATCTCATACAATAAATGACATTTGAGAGAGGGAAGTGCCTATAGTTAAGATGATGTTTTATAAAAGTTAAACACACGATATTCATTGTTTTTACAATGCTGTTAAGTTCAAAATTTAATTAAATTAAGAACATGCAGCAAGATCTTAAGAAGCTGAATTATTTTATTTTTAAAGGGGGATTCACAAGCTATCCATGTTATTTGAAGATCCATCATCCATTGAAATGCATTTGATCAAGCCACCTTTTTATTTGTGCCATCCTAAATCATCTCTATAAATATTTTATATACATTTTATCTCTACACGAGTTAAAGAGGTTATGGAATACTGAAAATAGTTCTTTAATTGTTATTTTGAATGTATTTGCAATTTATAATAATAGTACTCAAGCATATATTATATACACTTAAACTTATAATAATAATACTCATTAGATAAGACCCATGAAAGTGCACCTTCATTTTTTAATGTTATGTCTTATATTTACCAGAACACCTGAAAGAATTAACCAACCTGGTAAAAATTTTGATACCTGAATGTAACCAACAGACAAATCTTGTGACTGGTGAGATGTCTGACCAAACAGTTATTAACTTACTGAAAAGTATTGAGGAGAAACTAGCAGTAAGTAGTTTTATTTAAGATTTATTAAAAATGTGTGGTGCTTTGTAGGTATCCATCCTGGTTGAATGAAAAAAATTAACAATAAATTAATAATTTTAAAACATTTCTTCCCAAAATTGTATCACTCTACTTACCTGCGTAATGTAATTTTATCACTCTACTTACCTGCGTAATGTAATTGTATCACTCTACTTACCTGCGTAATGTAATTTATTTACAATCTATGTCCTTGGAAGAAAAAATTTCATAATAATAATTATAGAATTAATTGCATTTTGATCTCTATTTTTAACCTTTAAAAACACCCTAACCCCTAGCCTGGTAATTGAATGGGCCTACAATTTTCTGTCTGCTAAATATCTAAATCAGTTAAATTCTGTGTCTGTGTATTTTTGCGGTCAACGACTTCTTATTAGAAATGGATGCGTTTTTTTATGGTCCTTCTTCAGGTTTTCCCTAAATTTAAAAATAAAAAATGTGTTTCCCTAAATTGAGTATACTGTGAACACTAATCAGTCACAATTTATAAGCACTGTTGTGCCAAAGTTATATACTAATATTGATAAATTCATCCCACCCTGCCAGAAAATGGTTCCCAATGAAGGCACTCTTGCACAGGTTGTTGTTGAGCAGCCTCACGGCAGCAAGCCTCAAATATCACGACACTCTTTTGACATTCATCGAACCCTGCCCAAGACAATAGATGAGCCAGAGGTTGAGCTGCCTCACGGCAGCAAGCCTCAGACATCACGACACTCTTCTGACATTCATCAAACCATGCCCAAGACAATAGAGGAGCCAGAGGTTGAGCTGCCTCAGTGCCCAGTAGCTGAACCAGCATTAGTAGCTGTCAACCCAGCAGAACCAGTAAGTTTTTCTGTAACATAATATCCATTTTGTACATATATATATTTTGCTGCTGCAGCCCTACATCTGTGGTCTGCAAACTTTGTGTGTGTTCAAACTCTCTTACTCTCTAGTTACACCCAACTCCAAAGCTTTGACCCTGTTTAGTTTTTTTAAATTTATGTCATTAATCATTCATTCATTGAATTAATCATTCATTGACATCGCAGGAGTTTTCAAGGGTTTCTTAATGTTATTCCCCCAAGGTGTCCATCCTGAAGAAAAGAAAAAAGAAACAGATTTTTCATGATGAGCTACGCAACCCACTGTGGGCAGGAGATAGAGGCCTTGGAAATGGCGCCACCATCGGTGTATGAAGTTTTAGCTTTAATTTTCCGTTTTATTTGAATGGCTTCTAAGTGAGCTAAGTGTAGACTTTTATCAATTTAAAAGCAAAAAATGATAGTCATGTGTAAAAAAGAAATAAATTTTTTTTAAAAAAGCTCAGACTAATGGTATGCATGGACACAAATGGCCCTGTCATATTTATAAACTCTGTAAACTTATTGTTTGAGAAATATGTATTTTATACTTCATTTATTTTTTCATGAATATTTTGCATTTGCATCTCCTTGGTGTTTCACTGCTCTAAACATGCAATAAATAAATAACTTTATTTTATAGAAAATAGAACCACAAGTCTCCCTTGCATTTTTGTTGTACAAATATTACAATTGTGCCATCCTTTCATTAGGTACCTGCTTTCAAAGAGTGTAAACTTGCATGTTAAACAGTCCATTTCAATTAATGGGGATTGTAACTTTGTACATTTGTTGTTGTTTTTTTTTCTCTTAAGGCTAATAAAAAGGAGATAGACTTCTGGCAACAGTTCGTTACCAAGTATTTGCTGCCAATATATCCCACTCCTGAGGAGAAGGTAACGTGAACATTTTAGCTTATTGAACTATTTTATTCTTGAAAGAAATGTGTTTTAAAATTTGTTTCAACAAGGAAGTGTAATTTTCAGTTTATCAATGAAATTAATGACTATTCTATTACGTATGACATACACCAAATTATTGAAGCAAACAAACCTTGTAAGGCTTGGAAGATCTGATTTATAACATTTTCTTACAGAAAAAAAACCACAGATGGCCTGAAAGATCTCAGGAACTCATCAGCTTTTGGGTTAATCATTCTCAACCTTCTGTGGATGGCCCTTAATTTCATGTTCCAGTATACAAAAGCTGGGCGTATCTCTTTTGACTATTCATTTGGTGGCAAAACATACCAATTTGAGGTAAACTTTTTTTCTTTTGTGCTGGAGATTTAGGGGTTTTCCCTACAAATTTTACCTGTAACAAATTTAAAGTTAATAAAGTAAATTCTCCACTTGGTATTTTCATGTCGGCAAACTGTTTTTGATTATAGCTTAACCAGTAAAATGGATTTGTTTGTTCCCGCTACCAGGAAAGTATCCTTGGCTTTGCCTTTGTGGCTCTTCTGTTACTGTTTTTGATCTTACAAATGATTGGAATGTTGATGCACCGCATGAGCACATTACAGCACCTTCTGGCCATCACAGAGATTACAATAAGGTAGGACCCCAAGAAATGTTGCCAGTATGTCAATTCCTAAATGTTATTCATTAACAAAGCAAATTTAATTTATTTGTTATTCAATTTTAAATCTGCTTAAATTTGTATGTAATAAACTGTTGATGGTACTGAAAATATAATTTTTAAAAAATGGCTCTAGACTCTTAGATGAACTTTCATAGCAACTTTTTTTTTTACTAATCAAGGAATTTTATTTTAGTGTTTTTCTGGCCATGAAACTTCATCATTTCAAATAAGTTTTAAAAAAACTAAATTTTTTAAGCAGAAAGAATTGCAAGGATTTTTGTAATCTTTTCCTGGAAGCTGAACAAAAATTCAAACAATTCTTTTTAAACATGAATAATTGTTTATTTCTTTCATTTTACTAAATTTCATTCTGTGTCCTCAAAAGATTTAAATATCACTGCATAACTTTTTATATGATAGGAAAGGTAAAAGGAAAGATGCATCCGTGGCACGAAACAGAGAAGATGCTATCAGGCAAATCAAAGCAGTTTTGCAGATTCCTTCCATGATTGATAATGGTGCTTTCACTACACCACCAGCTGTAGCTGAGAAAAACAATAAACTTGGGGTCACTTTTATCGGGGCATGAAATAAAGGATCAGTTGGACTAGGTTAGTTTTTTCTGAGGCAATAAGGGAATGAAAGTTAATTGTATTAAAAGGGGAAAGTGTGCAAGGGGCTTTTAGGGGACTTTAGGAAGAAGAGTGGTACTTTTATTTTCACTCATTATTTTAAAGTTACACCCTAAAATTATGAAAATTTCTTGACTAGCATACATTTTGTAGACTCAAACACAAGCTATACCGTATAGAAGGACCTCCTTTTGTGATAACGGCTGTCCTTTTAATCAGGCTGATCTATACCAACAGTTGGAAACTTCAGCCTTTTGTTTGCTAACAAACTGAAGAAAAACGGCAAATATATTCCTTAAAAGAAAACACTTTAAAATAACAATTAAAAACAAATTTGCCGTTTAAGGCCAACCATTAAAAATAAATCTGTGTTCATATCAACAGGCAAAGTGACCAATGATGAAAGGTTCACCAATGAACTGGGAAAGTCTTTGAAACATTTTGGAAATATAAGGAATTCCACTAAAGAGGTCGTGCTGGACAGGAGGAATAAGGAAATCTTGTCAAGTGCACGGCAGCGTATGATGGGTGGTACATTCAAGCAGAAGTGAGTTGTTTATTCATTCCTATTCTTGTTCTGTCCAATTTTTACTAGGGGGAGGCATTGCAGGGAGGTGCAGTTGGCTGCATCCCAGATGGTTTGAGGCCTGCTGAAGGTTTATGTTGTTAACTTTGAGGGTGTCCTTACCACATCCCATATGCCAATGGTGTGGTCTTCCTCTGGTCCCAAAACCGGAGGGCCTGTGTTGTAGGCTTGTAATCCAGGCTGATTGACAGGTATTCTGACCAGATGGCTAAATTAATTAATTCATTGTAGGGCCATTTACTAGCTGACTTTTGTGGCACCAACCATTTGTCTTATATCCTGGTTCTGAATGTGGTCCCTTCTCCTTTTACCAGTTGACATCTCATCTCGCAGTGGAAGATTTATTTCCTCAAGAGTGATATGCATTGTCCAGTTCTCGAGTCTGTTATGACATGTAACAAGTGCTTCTAATCAGACTGCTGCATGCTTGATTTAATTTTCAGCATTCATTATTTTATCAACCATGTTTGAGCTTATTGAAATGCACCTGAGACAGCAGACTTAATGGTTGCAGCTTAGTTTTCAGTAGATTTTCAAAAGATATTTTGTTTGCATCTCCATCTATATTTTTTAAGAAATTGTATAAAGGGAAAAACTATTTTTCCACTTTCAGGATTGATGAGATTGACCCAGACCTGGCTAAATCATTCAGACCTTTCCTGCCTCCTCGCGGCAGCAAGAACAACCCACCCAGTTTTATGCAGGCTAACAACTTTGGATTCACTACCAAAGAGCTACATGATGCAAACTTATCCACCTTGAATTTGATAGAGTCTTCAGAGCGAGCACGTGACTTTGAAGGTGTGGGCGCTATGGGTAGAACTCTGCTACAGAAAACTAAAATCATCAATGAAGTAGCTGATTCATTTAGCACTGGTTCTTCATCCTTACATTGGACTCATTCAGATGTTGGCGGCCGGAAGAGACCCTCTTACACCAGGAATAACAATTTTCATAGTCGGTCAGTTCGGTTGTAACTTAACTGTATTTATGTTAATGTTTGTCTTACTCCAGGCTTGTTTACAGAAACCCATTTGCAATGGAAGTGATCTGCTTAATGGAATCTTTGAGAATGGATAGGCATCATTTTTTAAATTTAGAAATTTGTATTTCATTTTATAACATCTGTATGTCATGAATAGGGCAAAATAGGAAAGACACTACCAAACAGAATCTTTCAAAAGAAGGGGAAACAAATCTACTACATGGATTTACCAAATGATTTGCCTTTTACCAGATCCCAATTTAAATTTCTCCATCCCTCATCTGTCCAACAACAAGGCTTTCATCCATTTATAGAATCTTTCAAAAGAAGGGGAAACAAATCTACTACATGGATTTACCAAATGATTTGCCTTTTACCAGATCCCAATTTAAATTTCTCCATCCCTCATCTGTCCAACAACAAGGCTTTCATCCATTTATAGATTTTTGAAGACCCTCTATATTTAACAACAAAATTATAGATAAAGTAATATTTGTTCGTAATAGATTTATTTTAAGACTATGTAAATTATTTCAGCAACAACTTGTTAAACTCAAATCATATTGTGTTGAGAAGTAAACATTAATTTGTAATCATATGAAATGGAACTGACATTTTAAGAAAATGTAATAATATTTGAGACATATATTCTATAAGAAGCTTAAAAAATCTTATTTAATTTACTTAAAAATTTGTACGGTATCTAAAAATTTTAAAAGAGCAAATAGTTTATTTCACTTTTGGTAATGAAAGAAAATGTGATTTTTTTTTTTTTTGTTAAAAACAAAACTGACTTTTTTTTAAAAAAAAAGGATATTGAACTTTATGTAAATGTAAAATTTGAGGAAGAGAGTATGTGTGTGTGTTTGTGTTTAAGTCTGTTAAATATCTTATTCTTTGTTGGTCCTATACTGTGTTGCTCACATTTTAAAAATTAATTTACGCATTCATCCACCTGTATTACAGCATTCTCAAGTCTTTTGTCCAATTTTTCATGACTCTTACTAAGTCTTCAAGAATTTCACTGGTTCTTCTTTCCATTTGGAGCATCAGCTTTGTAATGCTATGGCAAGCTAAGGATGAGCCCTGTGCTTTCTGTTAACAGTTACTGTCATTACAAGCTCTGTCTTCTCTCATACTCAGGACTTCTTCATTTTCTGTTAGATCAAAGTAATCTAACCCTCATTATCCCAAATAAGAAACAGTTGCACACAATAGAGGAAATAGTTGCACACAATAGAGGAAATAGTTGCATACAATAGAGGAAACAGTTGCACACAATAGAGGAAACAGTTGCTCGCTTTTTGCCACAAGTTTGTTCAACCAAGGAAAAATGTGTCCATAGATTTCTAAACACAGCTGTGGTGTTAGATTCCCAGGAATGGGCAGTTTTTCTGATCAGATGAACTCGAAACAGGAATGGGGCATGCTAAACCAGTCAGAGACTATTTTAACATTTTTAACCACATAAATTTTTCCCATATCTGTGTTACTGTATAGTTTTTTTATATATCAGATTTCAGATGTTAATTGTTCATATGATTATTATAAATAAATTAAAAAATATTTCTTGATCTGTATTAAAATGTTAGAGTATTTATGCTTATTTGTTGAGCTATGCATGAACTCTTTTTCTGCAAATGTGTGAACTTGAAATGGGATGTGAATATTGTTTATTTTTAAAATTAAGAAATAAAATTAGGTTTTAATTATTACTGTTTATTTCTTTATAAAAAACTTGTGTTCCTTAATACAACAAAATGAAGCAATAAAACATTCGCAACTCAGATTGTACAGTTACATTATTTATTTTATTAACTGCATTTGTTATAATTTTAATATGGCATGATTGTGATTCAATTTCTGATAAACTAAAAATCAAAATCCACTTTTATTGATTTATATATCTATAGTATATTGAGGAATACTATAGTAATAATAATATGCTTTATTAAAATATCAAGTTCTAAAGCATGCAAACTAAATTTTTTGTTTACTTCAATTTTTAAAAATTAAAAAAATTTAGATTTTTTTTTCATTAGGCCTACATTTAAAAAAATAAATTCCAGTATTTCTTTTAAGTCACTGAAATCCTTGAGTTGCTATTTTTACCATCAACCTTTCTTGTAGTTACAGTAAACCAAGATTTTGGTTTTATTGATATTAAAGTCTTTAGTTTAGATCTTGAATTTGGCAATTGTTTTCAACATTTGAATACTATTTACCATTAATATTTATGTTGTCTGTATTTGTTAAATTATACTGCATCCCTTTACTGATGATAATTATTTTATTTATTTTTTTTTTGGGGGGGGGGGAATGATTGCTTTAAATAGTAGAACATAAAGGAATCTGTATTCATTTCTTTATTGTTAAAGACAAATCATGATTTATTTAATGAAAACAAAAAATTATTTTAACATGGTCATGGTTATCTTGCACAGAGGTATCTGCAATAAAATTGTTTGAATTACCCGAGCAGTCATTAGTTCACCAATTCTCATATCAAACTGTCACCTAAACCTTAGTTCAACAATTCCCACATCAAACTATCGTTTAAACCATAAGTTTATTCACACATCAAACTATCCCTTAAACCTTAGTTCAACAATGGCCACATCAAACTATCCCTTAAACCTTAGTTCAACAATGGCCACATCAAACTATCGTTTAAACCATAAGTTTATTCACACATCAAAATATCCCTTAAACCTTAGTTCAACAATGGCCACATCAAACTATCCCTTAAACCTTAGTTCAACAATGGCCACATCAAACTATCGTTTAAACCATAAGTTTATTCACACATCAAAATATCCCTTAAACCTTAGTTCAACAATGGCCACATCAAACTATCCCTTAAACCTTAGTTCAACAATGGCCACATCAAACTATCGTTTAAACCATAAGTTTATTCACACATCAAAATATCCCTTAAACCTTAGTTCAACAATGGCCACATCAAACTATCCCTTAAACCTTAGTTCAACAATGGCCACATCAAACTATCCCTTAAACCATAAGTTTATTCACACATCAAACTATCCCTTAAACCTTAGTTCAACAATGGCCACATCAAACTATCCCTTAAACCTTAGTTCAACAATGGCCACATCAAACTATCCCTTAAACCTTAGTTCAACAATTCCCTCATCAAACTATCAACTATACCTTAAGTTCACATCTCCACACCAAATATGCTCACACACTACCTGCAGCTTTATATTATAGATAGATTTAAGTTGACCAAATATCCATCGGGCTCATCAGTCGGAAAAAAAAAGTTAGTGTGTGCTTCATTATCCTGAAATTGACCATTCAATTAATTCTAAATTGACCATTCAATTGACCCTAAATTAATCTTCAATTAACCCTAAATTGACCAT